TATTGGAATTAAAGACACAGATTAACACTAACCCACTAATAGTAGGTGACAATATCATGTATTTTTCAAATCAAGCCGTGTGACAAATGATAAAAGCAGCTTTTATCTCCTTGTTCAATGTTGATTCTTCTACTTGGGGTCTTTGTAATTCTATATGTGTCTTGTACTTGTGGTTTCTATTTATGTGAAGAATGTGGTATATAGAATAAATAGATATTTATTCAAATATATTCCTAAGTGTTTTATTACATTTTTTGCACATTTTATAAGTACAGTGGTTTTCATAATTTCTTTTCTGAATAGTTTTGTATGTAGATATGTTCCATATTTTTGTGTTTCAATTTTATATTCTACAAATTTTTGGCTTTTTTATTAATTCTATCTTTCTGGCAGGTTCCTTAGAGGCATTTTTGCTTCTGCATCTCTAATTTGGAAGCTTTTATTTCTTTCTGTTGGCAGCCTTTCCAGTTGAGTAGAAGTGACAAGGCTGGTATCCTTGTCTGTTGCTTACCTCAGAGAAGGAGCATTGTACCATAGTCTTTGTTGAGTGTGATGTTAGTTGTAGCCCTGTCACACACAACATCTCTTGTGTTGAGCTGCTTTCTTCCTATTCTTAATTTATGGAACTTTTTTTTTAATCATGAAAAGATGTTGGACTACGTCTGATGTCTCATTCAAGAGCAATAGATTTGGGCCATCCCCATTTCTTCATGACAATTGTTACAGTCCAAGGTATGCACTTGTCTTCTGGGGTCTTAGGAATGTGTCAGAGATTCTCAAGGCTCTTTTAAGTGTATTGCTACTCAGCTTATGTTTTAGAATTTTTTCATTTATTGTTTTCCTCAACAGTAATTATTTTTGACGAATACCCAGAGGATTTACAACAGAAAACTTCTGAGTGAGCCTTGCTAGCCCAGTCCTCTGAATGACTGCCAGACACTTGGAATAATAGCAACTCTCTGTAAAAGGCTCTATCCATGATCTACTCTCTTGATGGCTGGCAGAACTTTTGTTTCCCTATGAAGAAAAGCTGTTAATTTTCAAGACTACCACAAAGACAGATGCTGTGGGATGGGAATACAGAAGGCCAGCATACCACAAAGCTCACTTTTACTCCAGTCAGCTGGTCTCTCTCATCAGTGCTTCTTGGTCGTTGCAAGCCTTTTGTTGAAGTTGGTAAGTATGGAAAACAGCATGGATTATAAATGTAATTTTGGAAAGCATGATGGTATATGCAGTGGCCAATCTCCAGCAGGTCCCCAATAAACTTTTTCTCCTGCTTTAAGTCTCTCTAGTGGTTCCCTATTCCTCATAATAAATCAGAGTTGACTCATGTGCCCAAAAGAAAAAACACAGAGGTCATAGTGTGCAAGTATTGTAACTATTTCATGAAGTACCTTGGTACTTCTACCTTGGTCACCAGGACAAATTGTTCTTGGGAAATCAGGCTGTTGATTGTGACAATACTTCTGAGCATCCATGGGGAAGCCCATTGGAAAGAAAGTGAGCATTCTGCTCAGACCACACATTACCCAATGGTTGCATGAATGACCACCTTGGAAGTGAGTTGTCTGGTCCCAGATCTGCCCTACAAAGGCCCAGTGCCATGAATCAAGTGATGGATCTTTGTGGTCAGCTTACATCTAGGCCAACCAACCTATTCCTGAATTTTTGACTATTGGACACTATGAAAAAATAAATACTATATATTGTTTTTAACTAAGTCTGATTATAATTTTCACTTAATCAATCAATTACTATTATAGTAATATAATAATTAAAATCAGCTCTCTTTACAAAAATATTCTCAACAAGAAGGTAGAAGACATTTTTCATGTTAAGTATTGCATATTGATGACTGCACCCCTGGCATGTTCAAATGATCTGTAACAAATTCATTCTAACAAAATACCATCCTTCTGCAATGACTCCATTTAAAGTTATATTCAGAGCACAAAGAATATTAACATCACAACTATTCTCATTTGTTTCATTGTCAGGAAATGAAGCAGATGTTACCAAGACCCAAATGTAATAAAATGAATGAAACCATAATCTTACTTCTGAACATATATACAGATATCCTAAAATCCCTAACAAGTGGACTCTAAGAGGCAATGTTTTCCAGATGTGCTGTTATACTTCTGTAAAGCTGATTTCCATACCTGCAAATAGCGGACGACTCTGCAGACCAAGTCAGGGGCCATGAAGTCTCCCGTGAATCGCCAAATGATGTCTGTCAGGATATTGATCAGTCCTGTGAAGGAGTCTAAGGAAAACACATGCTTCAGTCTCTCCAAAGTGTGTGGATACACTGCTGTGAAAACAGATTCCTGGGGTGGTTTTATTTTCTCCTAGCATAGCAGATGGCTACAGAGGAAAAGGGAAGCAGGAGCGCCTTGTCTTTAAATACCAGTTTGTTTTCACCTAGAAAGGATTTCAGCTACAACTGAGGAGGAATCAATAGTCCCAGGAGAGGGGCTTCCATGCTAATGCAAGCACTGTGAGAAGGCTCACAAGAAGACAAAACTGAAGGCAGCAAGTGCTTCCAGAATTCATCTCTTTCTTACACAGGGTAGACCATCATCTTATTGCCTGTCTAACATGGGTGAAGACAGACTACTGAAAGTTTTGAATCTTGGTTTGTCTCAAAAAAATTTTTCCTTTTAATTTAAACTTTTTTGTGAGGTTAGTACATGAATATTATATTTACATAGTTTATTCCCCCTTCCCTTTCCAACTCTCTTCATGTTCCCTACCTACCAAATTCATGACCTCTTTTTAATTCTTATTGTTTTAAGAGCACTCTTTCTCTCTCTCCTCTCTCTCTCTCTCTCTCTCTCTCTCTCTCTCTCTCTCTCTCTCTCTCTCGTGCATTTAGTGTTGTCTGGATATGTATTGTAACCTAACAGGGGCCTCATATCTATAGAAAACTTATTTTTCTCCCTCTCAGCAGCCATTTATTGGTACACTGTTGTACAATTAATATGCCTTCTTAGTGATAAATCATTCCACACATTTGGAGATTAGTTAAGACAAAGCTCTTTATTAATAGCTTGCCCCCTGCCTATGCATGCTTGAGACAGGTGGGAGAGCTGGCTCTGTGGTTATAAGAGCAGAGAGTTGTCCCTGACTGCCACCAGAACTAATACACAGGAGAGCATGCCCTGCACATCACCAGGGCAGCATAATAGAACCAACCTTGTTAGTGGAGCTGTGGGTGAGCCAGCCCCAAAGTTGTGAGCACAGGAGAGATGTCCCTATTACCCATCTGTCATGTGGTAGCATGGGTGAGAGAGACACTCACCTGACAGGGAGAGCTGGCCCTGTGCTCATAAACTCATGAGAACCAGCCCTTTTATTGCAGGTGGGGGTGAGACAGCCTCAAAGTTGTAAACATGAGAGACCTGTCCCCAATTCTCATCTGGTGGACCAATCCTACAGCTGCCCAGGCCCAAATCCAGCATTATGACTTGGCCTGTCCCAAAATCCATCCCATCCATGACTTGCTGGAGCATAACGAACATGACCTGCAGGCCCAAAACTGCAGGATCTCCATAACACAGGGCAACTACAGGAAACCCAGGAAGAGTCCCATTAAGGACCCAGCATCCATAATGTAATAGAAACCAGAGGCCTCAAATAAGACCAATGACTCTTTACAATGAATGTTTGCCAGTAAATGGACAAAGTAGTTTATAGTGTGACTCGTGTGACACTGCAGCTTTCATGATGAGATTTTAATTTTTTTTCCCTTTCTCTTAAATTTTGTTTTATTGAGGGGGGTTGGCACACAGGGGTGGAGGGAAGATGCGAAGAAAGGGGGTAATGAATGGGATCAAGATGCATGATGTAAAAGACACATAGAATAAAGTTTTAAAAAATATGGCAAAAAATATCATACCTTACATACAGCCCTGGCTAATGCTCAGAGGAGTTGGCCTTGAACAGAAAGTTCTACTAGCTTCTGTAGACCTGAGACTCACACATTCAACACACTGTCATCCTTAAGTCTCTTTCAAGTCCAGGCACTCTGTTTTTACAACTTAAACAGAGTTTGGCCACTTGGTCAGATGGGAGATTCACACAGCAGCAAATTTATTTTCATAATTACTGAAGTGCACCAGAATTGCTCTTTTCAAATAGTTGTTATCCAGGTTCATCCTACTAAGCTGACAGAATTATGCTTTGTCTGATAGGACACAGGGGACTTAATGGGAGACAAGGACTTATTGGTGGTTGTGACCCTGAGCTGCCCCCTTGCACTGATGGTAGAGGAATATTCTTTGGTATAAGGATGGGCATAATGGTGAAGTTATCTCCTTTTGTTATGGGATGGAGTCTAATTAAAAGTCAATCTTGATAAATAAAAATTACTAGAAAACTTAGTAACATCACACTTCAATTATTCTACAAAATACTCTTTCTTACAGTTTCTAACAATCCTGGCTAGTAATGATCATTGGAGGTAATGCTCCTTTAGCTAAACTCTTTGTGTAATTTAATGTTTCCTAAGTAAGTGTGATAGTTTGAAAGAAAATGGTCCCCAAAGGGAGTGGTACTATTAGGAGGTGTGGCCTGGTTGGAGGATGTGTGTAATTGTGGGGGGCAGGCTTTGAGGTCTCTTTTGCTCAAGATTTCCTCGGTGTGACTTTTAGTCAGCTTCCTATTGCCTCTGAGTCAAGATGATGTAAGACTCTCAGCTCCAGCACCATGTCTGCCTGCACACCACCATGTTCTCACCGTGATGACAATGGGCTGAATCTCTGAAACTGTAAGTGATCTATCTGCCCCAATTAAATGTTTTCATTTACAAGAGTTGCTATGGTCATGGTTTCTCTTCACAGCAATAAAAACCCCAACTGAGACAGCAAGTTTATAAGTAAATCATTTATAGTATCAATTTTACTTCTTCGAGTTTTCCTGCATCAGTAGCTCTTTATCTAGGGGTGGTGAAATACTTGCAGTATTGTGACTTGAAACCAAGACCTCCCGAATGCCTGGAATGTGCTCTAACACTGAGCTCCATGCCAGGCCCTAGTTTACTTTTTATTAAAATATATTATCTATTTAAAATAATGGGTCTCATCATTTCATTTTAAGACTTGTATATGCTATACTTAATAATATTCACACTGGTTACCATCTCCTGTCACATCCCTCTATGAAATTTATTAACATTTTTAAATTTCTCATTTAACTCATCATTATATTGTCATGCCCCCTTCAAATACACACTTGACATTCGAGATAAAACATGATACTTATATTTTTTGGTCTGGCTTATTTACTTAACAAGACTATTTCGGGATCCATACATATTCCTATGGATGATGGTTTTTATGGATAGACTTATACTGATATCTATAATATGTATATACACCACACTGAAAAATCCATTTCTCCATTGATAAACCCCTAGGCTGTTGCCATAGTGGGCTTTGTGCATAGTGTCACAATAACATTCAATTACTTTTCCACATGCTGATATTGATTCCTCTAGATATATTCACGGCTGGCAAAAGGGGTGATACTATTGATTTAGTGTTCTTTTTTTTCATTTCCATTGTGTTAAAATACCCTAACAAAGAACAACTTAGTAGAGGAAGGGTTGATTTGGCTTTAATTCCAGGTTCAGCCTATCTTTGAGAGTCTATCGAGGCAGAAATTCATGCAGCTACTCTAATCACATCCACAGTCAAGAGAAGAGAGAGTAGACACAGGCCTGCACTCTTTCAGCTTCTGCTCAGCTGGTTTTCTCCACTCTCATACAGAGCCTATCCCATGAAAAGGATCCTCCTATGTTCAGGGTGGGTCTTTCCTCCACCTACTTAATCCACACAATTCTCCATGGGTGTGTTCACAGGTCTACCTGACAATTTCCCAGCCTATACTCCCTTGTCAGGTGGTTCTCAGCTATGGCAAGTTGGCTTGTAAAACCAATGATCACATTTACCTTTTTGAGGACTTCCACACTGATTTCCTTAATAGTGTCTTTACTACATTTCCCCAAATCCCCCTTGACTCCTAGTCCCTTCTAACTTGCTGCCTCATTGGCCAAACAGTACTTTATTCAACAATCAATAGGATGAACATACATAGAAGTACATTCCACACCATCTCCTCTTTTCTGTCTAAATAAAAAGGATAACTTATCTTTTATAATAACTGAAGAAAACTATAACTACCTGTCTTCAACTCTATCAAAGAAAACAGAAGAAAAATATATAAATTCTAGAATTGACAGGACATCTTGCTACCTGGATACTCATCCAAAGTTCCTCTGTAACGTTGGGGCATCCATCTTCAGCTCATAAGCCTTAGTGTGTCTGGCACACTTCTCCATTTCAACAGGAACCCTTTAGTACTGTCTTGTTTTGTAAGTTTAACAGTCACTTTCTTGTGGGCCCTGTATGTCCAGTTTATACAGCAACAAACAATCCAGACAAGAACAGTTTCTTGCCCAAATGGCTAATTTTGCCATTTGAAGGCAAACTCCATAACTAGTTTCTTTGATAGCCATCCTCCGTTCTGATGTAATTGGTGTGCCAGGAGCAGTTGGGTCTCACTGCCAAGAAAAATTCTAAACCAATTTAAATGCCATATATTTGGTCAGTCTTTGAAAGTTTGAAGAATACCTATCCATCTCAAATACATCTCTGTATATCTAGAAAACCTAACTAACCTAATTGTAAGTTCTGACTATTATAGGTGACTATATAACCTGTATTTAATTATGCATATCATTTTTAAAGATCTGTATAAACACAATACCTAAATGAGAGGAGACATATCACAAAATTGATCTTAAAGTTGTATCAATAAATGAAAATCCATACCAATGCAAAGCATTCATTCCTATATCTTATTCCCCTTTTTGTCCTTTAAAAAGAAATTGACTATGTTCATTATCATTTATAACCAACCCCATTTAAATGAAAACAAACATTTACAAACAATATTTGAGAATTTGGGCGTTGTTCATTCCAAACAGCTTCCTGCTGATTGGGGGCGATGTCCATACCATGGGGATCAGGATAAAACATGGAAATCTAAACAAGTCCTTGTTTTTGTAGTCTGTAAGGCTGTATCATCTCAGCTGTTTTGGATGTAAGATCAATTGGGTCACTGCTTCAGGGGGCCTTGTTTGATCAAACAATATTAGTCTGGAAGGAATCCACAGCTTTTCATTTTCTGTAGAAACACAACCAAAACCTTTTTCCCAAGTAGCCTGTCCTTAGACTTAAATGTTGAAGTCAAAGCATTTTTAAAAGGTATAAGTTGGATTAATTTAGCAGCACTTATATTCAAATGTGTTTTAGCAGCAGTAAATCTTTCCTCGGCAATCAAACAATTTAAAGACAACAATATAGCATATAGTATCCCTGTGCATTTTTCATCTTTAGGTGGCTTTTCTATTATTCTATTTTTACTTCCTTTTGTTTCTTTTTTCCTGCGACAGGGTTTCTCTGTGGAAATCCCCCTACCTCTGCTTTTGGAGTGCTGGGATTAAAGGTGTATGCCACCACACCCAGCTACTCTATTTCCTCCTGTTACTTTATCTCTCACAAGCCAACATATATTTTTAAACACAGGGTAAACATTTAGAGGTGTTTCTTTATCTGGATCTGTCTTTACTGTAAATCTTTACCTTTTTTCTGGTAAACAACACCGCCAAAATTAAAGTGGCAGCTTTCTTAGCTACTGTCTTTCAAGGAGCATGGCACCAGCTTGGAGATGTGGTCACTGCCACTGCCAGCTGCATTGGGCACGAACCCACATCAAAAGTCTCATGCTCTGCTGACTGAGCTAGCAGGGCCTCTTAAAAAGAGTCCTTAAGTTTTTCCCACTTTTTCTGAGTCAGGAAAGCTCTCTTAAAGCAACCACTCGAGTCTCTGCTTGTCTCTAGCAAAACAGAGACCAACCAAGAAAATGCTGCTAACAAGAAGTCGTGCTTGTCTCTGATCTTTTGCTGCTTAAATCCCTTTTTAAGCTTTTGTGAAGTTTACATGGAAGTTCATAACACTGCCTCCAGCTGCCTGGGTCTGCCGATGTTTGACATGGGAAGGCAGCTTGCGGCGGTGAGAGCTCAGAATCCTAGAACTCTCCAAGGCTGCAGGCTGTCTCAGGAGTGAGGAGTCCAACCCCCAAGAGCGCAGTGATGGCAAGAGCATATGGATGCCTCTCAGTGGCCCGACAGGGCTGGCTGAGGTGGCAGGTTTCCCTCTTCCTCTGGGAACCTTGGGGCATGGGGTCATCCCACTCACTGACACCATTCTGTTACGATAAATCTTTCTGCCACCCGCTTGAGTTCTGCCCGCCATGTGGATGGACAAAATAATACAGAGACTTATATTAGTTACAAATGCTGCTTGGCCAATGACTAGGATTTCTCATCTGCTAGCTTAGTCTTAATTATCATAAAGCTATATATTTTATAAGACTTATCTTATTGGACACCTTCCACTGGCGTCCTCATCCCTGGGATCACATGGTGGCTCAGAGCAGAGAGCAGGAGGGAAGAGCAAAGGGGAAAGGGGGCACTTCCTGCTTGTCCTTGCTTAAGTATGAGTCTTCCTGCTATGTCACCTCCTGCCTGGATCACCACTTCTTTACTACATTTCCCAGAATCCTCCTTGACTCCTAGTCACTTCTAAATTGCTGCCTCATTGTCCAAACAGTACTTTATTCAACAATCAATAAGATGAACATACACAGAAGTACATTCCACATCAATAGTGGAACTAATTTATTTTCCTACCCAAAGAGTTTAAGGGTCCCCTTTCCTTGAATCTTAGCAGCATTTCTCTCTCTCTCTCTCTCTCTCTCTCTCTCTCTCTCTCTCTCTCTCTCTCCCTCCCCCCCCCCCCCCCCCCCCCCCCCCCTTCCTCCTCTCCCATCCCTTCTTGCCTCTCTTCCTCTTTTGGTTTTTTGAGACAGGGTTTCTCTTGGATGTCCTGGAACTCTCTCTGTAGACCAGGCTGGCCTAGAACTCACAGAGTTCCTCCGCCTGCCTCTGACTCCCAAGTGCTGGGATTAAAGGAGTGCATCACCACTGCCACACTGAAAGGACCATTTTCCTTGAATCTTGGGAGCATTTATTCTCTTTTGGTTCTTCTTTCTTTCTGTCTATCTTTCTTTTTCTCTTTATTTCTAATTAATTTTGTTATTTGACTATTTCATACACATGTATAATGTACTTTAACCCCCATGCCTCCTCCCCAACACTTTCTATGATTTTCCATCCATTCAAGTTTCATAACTTTTTGTTTTATTCTGTAACTTATTTAACCGGGATCATATATGTGACAATTGGATTGAAACCGTCTACTAGAGCAAAGCTGCTACTTCATTGGGTATACCACAGAGACAATGATTTCCTCTCTTTGAATTTAACAGTAGTAAATAGTTCAACAGTGAGGGATAGGGACTCTTGAGCTCCTCCTCCATCCCTTCTTACTACAACACAGTATAGACATTCACGGTTGCTGTCAGATTGTGATTGGAATGCCTTGGCTTGCCTAGAAGATGCAACTTTACAGCCCTCATCCTTTTTTTAAGTTTCATACTCATTCCAACTGGCTTCTTCAGTGTTCCCTGAGCCTTAGAGAGGGTGGTAGGAATGTCTTTTTAGGGCTGAGCACTCATTCATCACTTATACTCAGCACCTTGTGCAGCCAGGAATGTTCATGTTTACCACTGTTTCACTGGAAAGAGAGGATTTTCTGATTAAGGCTAACAGTAAAGTACAAACATATCAGTACAAACATAAAT